AGCCCTACTATTTCTAAAGCTAGTTTATTTTACTATATTATAAAGCAGGCTCTATATTATCTTAGCAGTTTCTATTCTTATTTTTTTCTTATTTTTAATTTAGGCTTTTAATAGTTTTAAATATATACTCTACTTCTATACCTCTTAGAGCTTAGAAATTTAAGGCCTGCCTAAGGCTTTTTTAGGCTTTATAAAAAGCCCCTTTCTTTCTATTTTTTTTTTCTCTTTTTTTTTTTTTTATTACTCCTCTGCTGCTCCTACTATAGCTATCTCTTATAAGTCTTCTATTTTCCCCCTCTGCAGTCTCTATACTATTACTGGGTTCTTACTAACCTATAGAAAGTTATCTTTTCTCTTTTTATTTCCTATTTAGTACCTGCTTTAATTATATTTTAATTTTACTATAATACCTTCTTACTTAACTCTTAAGGAGCAGAAGGTACAGGCTGCTATCTGATACTATAAGAAAGCTGCCTAGAAGAAAGCTAAAAAGAAGGCTCTTACTAATACTGCTATAGCTGCTATAGCTTCTTCTGCTAATAAGAAGAAGAAGAAGGATAAGGAGGAGGTTATTATTACTTCCCTTAAGTATTCTTTTAGTAATACTGCTATAGGTATATCTAAGAATTTAAAGAGATTTAAGTTTAATATTTTTTTATTTTATATTACTCTAGAGGTTTCTAATAAGCTGCTATTTCTTCTAGTTAATATAGTAGAAGTTTTTTTTATTAAGATAAATATTCTATAGTATTTTTATAATATTTCTACTAATTAATTTTATAGAAAGTTAGTAATTACTATTTTATTTTTTATATGTATTATATTTAGTTAATAGTTTTAGCTTATACTTCTAGCTATTTTTATTTTATTTATAGTATATTATTTTTATATTATTTTTATAATTTTTCTTTTTTAGTATTAATTTTAAATTAAATTCTAGTAGTTATTATACCTACTATATAAAAAGAAAGTATATTTATATTTTAATAAGTAGCTTCTATAGTAATTTATATTTTTATTAACTTTTTTTAAATTTCTTTTTATTTTATTAAATTTATTATTTCTACTTAATTATATTTATAGCCTATTTTACTTAGTATTATACTTATTAAAAAATAGGTATAATTTTTAGCTATATAGATACTTTTGTAATTATATAGAAATCTTACTTATTAAATATAATTTAATAATATAAATAAACTAAGAAATTTTTAGCTATTATAATTAATAGGCTATTACTATAGCTTCTACTATAAAAAGATTAAAAAATAAAATAGCTACTAAGTTAATTTAAAACTCTTAGTAGAAGCTTTATAGCTACTAAAATTAACTATCTTTTTTACTATCTTATTATTCTTAATAAAGCTTTTTTACTATTACCTCTATTAAAATTTCTTTAAATAAAAAAAATAATAATAATATTATTAACTAATAGATATCTTAATAGTATTACTTTAGCTTTAGCCTTAAACTTTTAGTAGATACTCTTTTTTATAAATTTAGTTTCTTTATAAAATAACTTTTATTTATATTTTAATTAATTTAAATAGTTATCTATATATTATTACTAAAATTTTATTTCTTTCTTATCTATTTTCTATATTTTTATTTCTTTTATAAAGCTATTATCAATTTAAATTATAAGAGTCAAACTATCTTACTATATTAAATTACTATTATAGATATTATATATTTATTACTAAAGTAGTATCTTATATCTTTACAGTCTTAAAATTTAAACTCTAAAAGAAGAATCTTATTATAGAATATACAGTAGATAAAGATATACTTAACAGTTTATTTACTATTACTATAGAAGTACTATAGTAATATTACCTTAGAAACTCTTCTATTAAAAAAGAAAGCTTAAAGGCTAATATAGCCTATTTACAGTTAGATAATTAGACTATTAATATATCTTAATTAGCTTCTATATAGTATTCTATAATCTATTTTAAAGAGGGATCTATCTAAGATACTGATATCGTTACAGCCCCTCTGCATCCTCTATTTTACTGCCTCAGCTGCCTAATATACTTTTCAGTCTCTATCTACAGCATCAGCTGCTACTTTCTCGTCCCCAAGCCACCTTTGCAGCTATTTGGTATTTACTTCGTTAGGGCGTCTCCACGGGCCTCTGTATTTCGGTAGGGCTGCTGATACCGCTGCGATAGCCTTGTTAATTACCTGTTAGGCCGGTCCGGTGCTGGTATGTGTTTCAAAATAGGCGAGCCGTAGGTTGAGGTAAAGGTCCAGGGGGGGGGACGTCGAGCTCTATTTCCAGGTTCCTCGTCGGGGTTAAAAATAATTATAATAATAATCTTTTTTAAAAAGTAAATAATTTAATATTATTTATTTATTATAAATTTCTTAAAATATACTATTTTTAGTATAATATTAATAATATTATTAGTTTTTTTTATATACTTACTATACTTTAACTCAATATAAAATACAATTTATTAAAATTATTTACTACTCTATTAGTATACTGCTTTTATATATAAAAAAATAAACACACTAACCCTAATATAATAACAAGCCTTACAGAGCACTTTAAATCAGCGCCTTATAAACTGTTAAACTAAAGCAACTATGTGTGGGGCATCATCACCTACGATAACTACGAAGGTATTACTCAGGAGGCTCCCAGGGTAGTATCGTAGCAGGAGAACTACTCCTTCCTATCAGATCAGCAGATTGCTTGTCTCGATGGTCAACATAGGCTAAGAGCAGCAACTAAGAATAGCACGCTCTCATGGTGGGTAGTGGGGCTGTTCTGCATCCAGTGCAACTGGTTGGATTTCCAACGCAGGCTGATGCCTCGCCAGGTAGACGACCAAGCTATACAGGATGAAGTCGAGTCCACTTCCCATAGAACTCGCTATTCTGGCGCAGAAGGAATTGCGTATTAAATAATAACAACCACTACAACAGAACAGGATTTTAATATAATAAGTTAAGCGGGCGGCAGGTCCCGAACGGTCGGTCACGTAGGTGACCTGTTCAACCTTCTACCAAACTTCGAACTGCCCAGGGATCTAAACCAGCTAGTCAACTTTAATATCCTCGGTGGAAGGTTGGAGAGTTTCTTTAAGGCTTATGGTTGTGTCAATGCTAAGGAGAGGAGAGGAGAGCCAAACAATCGAAAAACAGGGGCTACACAATGGAACACGATGGCACTCATCTGAAAGGGTCTTATTTTTTTGGAGGTCTTAGATCTTGCATCTTGCTAGCATCGTTAGCGCTTGTCGATCCCTACGCTACAGCGCGGTGATTCCTCAATTGCAGTCGTTCTGGGTGTAGCAAACGTTGTCCTATGGAACAAAAATTGAGTAGTAAGACAGGATCTTGGTCAATTCAGTTTTGTTTCTCTTCCGTTTGCAAGTCAGGGACCAAAACGGATTTGTATTGTCACGTCGTTGAGCCTGAATAGCATGCAACAATACGCGCAATGTGCATTGCTTTATGCTGACCAACCATGGGCGTCATCAGATGATCACCTAAGTATCCCTTGTTCAACAGACATAGACCATTCACCGGTTCACAAATTGCATTGCTGCTTAGCGCCAGCATTTACAGTGCGATCTTGAGCGGTTGCTCTCGTGACCCTGCTCGAATGTTCAGAGGTTTCACTGCTGCAATTGTCATCTACTGGCATTCCTTCTCACTATCGGCTTCCGTTGCCCGTTTTCTCATCTCATTTGGAGACGGTCTCCTCTGTACTGTATCTAGCGGCGCTGGCTGCCCCGCCCTCCCTGCTCCCCGCGCCAGGCTACTGTTGTCTCCACGACTGTTCGATGTCGAACGCATGATGCTATCGCCAACCCCGCTAGTAACCAAGGCGCCAAAACGACTGCTGTACCGATCTGTAGATACGTGTCGAACTGTTTCGTCTGAAAAGGACCCTATCCACTGCGCTGATCCGTTTGTTGATGATGCTTTCCCAACATCGAAGAGGTCCGCTAGAGTCGTGATCACCACCTGGTCGCTGTCACCGTCGGCAACCAACTCCCCAACCCTGTATACCTTTTGGTGCGCAACCTGATCAGATGCCATTTTGCACAATGCTAGACACTGTTTCGAGGTTTTCAATTCTCCCTGCAATTGTAGAAACCCACGGTCACTCTCGGGTGTCCCACTTGTCGCCATGGACGTCAAGCGTTCCTGAATACGGCCGATGGTTTGAGAAAGGGTGTCTCGATTCTCGTCCAAGGCTCTGCGTGTAAGCAGCTGTGCCTCAAATGGGCTCTGGCGGTCATCAGCGGATGCGGGGGATGACTGGTGCTTCAGAGATTCTCCCTGATCTGCCAAAGACTCGACGTAAGACCTAGCATCTTGACAAATGCGGAGGCATTGCTCCGTCACTGCTCTCTCATCTCTCAGGTTCACGTTTGTACCCGAGGTACCGGCGCTTTCCCGGCTTTCGGCAAAAAAAAGCGCCAATTTCTCGTCAATGCGCCGTAGATGAACCTCAAGATTGTATATTGTATCTTGGATAATCTCGTTATACTCCTCGAGCACTTTATGGGAGAGTCGAGATGTTTGCCTACCATAGAAGTAAGACTGAGGTCAATAATTGTGAGCTAAGCCGACAAGATGAAGGGGACTAACATGGTGATAGTACCCAGGCCCACCGAGATTGTTGCTTTATATCCTGCCAGAGTATCCATGAACTCGTTGATATCGCCCTTCATAAACTCCATCTTGGTCCAATCTCGAAAGCCCATCTTGGATTTCCCGCCAAAGGCTTGCATGGCGGTAGCAAAATCGCGGCATACTTGGTTGCATCGACTGACAGGGCCTTCCAGAAGAGCTGTTGACACTCCGGAATCAACAGTTCCTCTCAGTACATCCAAAATGTTGCTCAGATCCTCAACCACATCCTGTAACCTAGCAAGGGTCTTGTCGCGATCTTTGAAACGAGTGACGGTGTTTTTGAGTAACTTGGTTGCTTGAATCGCAGCTGTGACTCCGGAGAGGGTGGTACTCAAAGGATCCATTGCCAAATTTGCAGCGAGTCGCCTCTGAGTCGGATCGGTGGTCGAGATGCAAGAATATATAATCTGAATTTTCGGCATTATGATCAATTGCGGGGGAGCATCGGGCTGAAATACCCAATCCTCGCCCCGCACGGGGGATAGTGATTGGCTAGGTGTTGGCGCCCTGGTGACCTGATACTCTCTAACGCCCTGGCGAGAACGAATCATGTCAGTGAACCGGACACGTCTCCCATGGACCCTTTTGAAGGGGGTTGGATGGGCCAAACAGAACATCGTATCCAAGCGCCCGCTCGTGTGAGCGCCTGCACGTGTAAGCGCCTGTTGACTGTTACAGCCATATTAGCAAACGCCCGACCACCCCGGGGGGAGAATGAGGGGTGTGTTACTACCAAGAGTCAAATTAGTGAGTCTGGGGTTTGCAAACCACCAACCTCCGTGGGCGCGTCACAATTGATGGGGTTTACCATGGGCTGACAATGACACCACACACCATCAAATTAGCGTCGAACCAGGCGGTTCGCTCCTTGTATCTACTGGCTCTATAGACGGATCCCTTACACGGCGGCAAATCGTAAGTAGGATTCTGGGCGTTCCTAGGAACGGCAAAATGGTAAAAATAGAAGGGCGACATTTCTCCGCGAGCCCACTAAACTCCATGCACGACTCGTCCTGAAAATTCGCAAGTAAGGCTAGATCTACGTCAGTCTGATGTGCTAATTGGGCAGCCGCTGCGATCGTGATTTGGCCAGTTAATGCTTGTGGCTGACATGACATGTCCGAACTTCGATCAATGGTATTGGTGTGTGATCGCTCGAGATCACACCTGCGGGTGGACGTTGAAGCCTTGCATCCACCCTGAAGGATGGAGATCATCCTCTAGCTCATTCCCAGTGTCTTGCAGACTCAGTGACGCCATCGTTGCCGTCGTGTCATTTAGACTGTGATCAATCATCGCAGGCCGGTTCCGCGATGAAGTGAGCGCTAGATGGCTGATTCCTAGGGCTAACAGGTGCACTAGAGAGAGTATTACTTGTACGATGATACCACAGTGACCGAGAAGTATCGCCTCAATATGGTCCATTAGGTCTTCTATTGCTCGCTAGATAGCTGAAAACCACGCCCATGCCGGTCATTAAATCCGCGCGATTCCCCATCTCCATGGTTTGGCCCATGAGCAGGAGGTGTTTGCCCAACGCCCTGTTCCGCCGATTTGACGCTTTCGAGGTCCAGGTGTGTCAGGTCGTCAATCGTTCTCTGGTAGCTCTCATCGCTGATCTGACCACCAACAAAACGCGTCTGACCGCTCAGGTTGAGTCGCCTCGCGACAACAAGGTCTTTCACAGTCGATACCGAGATGCCGTAGCTACTATCAGTCATCGTTATATCCTCGAAAATGTTGCACCGTTCATTGGTCAAAGTCTCGCCCGCATCAGCCACAACGCTCATGCATTGGTGAAGGCTCTCCTTAGTCTCTTGCAGCTGTGCAAGTTGTGTGACTTCATGCTCGGATAAGGGTACCGTAGACCTCATGGCTTCCATTCTCCTATTGATGTCATTCTCGTGGGTTTGCAGTCGTGATATTAGGGAGTGGATAGAGCCTTTGGCGGCACCCAAACCACCGCTAATATACTTGTGTGCTGAGGGCTGCTGCAAGAACTGCGGGTTGATTCGAGTTTCTCGATCTGGGCAGACAGTTGTGAACAGATCTTTAACCCTTCATGAGTACTCTGCTTCTCCTCTAGCATAGCCAGCCACGCAGGGTCATCTCGGACAGGGCTTTCCACCTCAGAAGCAGCCAAGCATTGTACTCTTTCCTCCAGTCGTTTCATGTGTTCTTCTAGATCGTTCGTCGTATCGCGTATCAAATCTCTATATTCTTCGAGTGCGTTGGGTGTTATTGACGTAACCACCCGTCTGCGGATCCGGAACCATTAGTCGATTGTATACAACATAGACCTGGAATTTATGCCTTACAGGTTTGCATTTGCTAATGCTATGGTGATAGTGGATTTATATCCAGCAAGCATCTCTCTGAAGTCAGTTATATCTCCTTTGAGATATTGCTGGCTGAACCAATCCCGCAAGCTTGGCCTCGATGAGTTGGAATGCTTGGTGCATCGAGCAATAAGGTCGCCATACTCCTTACAGGTCTTGCCGCAGCGGAGTAAAGGAAGTTTGAGGGTATTAAAGTTGACATCGTCACTGTTGTTAACCGTTTCAGCAAGTGACTGTAAAACTCCTCTGAGGTCGGCAAGCTCGGTTTTGAGCGCGCGGGCGTTCTTATCCTGGCTCTGGAAGTCACGGATGGTCGTATAGAGGATGGTGCTGGATTTTAGAGCAAAAGCGACTAGCGAGATGACGCCAGATGCTACGCTGAGACCATCTGCCATATTCTCAACGTTCAAAACTTAGTATTTGAAGCGTGGTGATAGTGGTCGATATCACCGATACTTTCCAGCTGGTTGCTGCGGTTTTATGTCACGGCCGAGGTTGGAGCCAGGCGGTCACAACTGGCAGAACTATAACATGCCTACTTTTTCACGTTACCTATAAGACAGGATCAGAGACCCACCACGACCGATTACTAGTAATCCCGACGGATTACCAATAATTACAGCTATAAGACCTCTAATTACCCTATTAGATAATACTATATAAAAAGAGCTTTAAGCTTCTTGTTACGGCTTGGTCCCCCGTAAGCTCTATAAGGCAGCTGGTACACCTGCTTAATTACTACAATTGCAATCAAGGCCCAATCTTTTGCCCGTAGCAGAACAGTCTAGGTGCCCGTTACTGTGACTAGCCGTCACACATTGATCGCAAGAAGCGGGTAGCCCGAGGTCTAGAAGCTGGGAGTTCGATTCCCGCCAGCTTCCCTTGAAATAGCTGCTCACGGGCTTGCCTGGTGCACATAGGGCATGTGCGGGGCGTGCGCCGGGGGTTGGAACAGCTGCAGCTGTGATAGGGCCTTGTCACCCTTATCGCAGGTGCCCGGATGAGCGATATCTTCCGGAAGGCTCCTGTAGGCTCCGAGATGTAGCTACAGGAGGGAGAGTAATGTGTTACGCCTTGGTCCTCCGTAAGCTCTATAAGGCAGCTGGTGTACCTGCTTGATTGCTATAATTGCGATTAAGGCTTAATCTTTTATCTGTAGTGTAACGGTCTAGGTGTCTGTTACTGTAACTAGCTGTTATACTTTTAAACTATAATTTTAAGTTTCTTAGCTATTAATATAACTGAGTTATCTAGCTTATTATACTAGTTATATATTACTAGATATAATAAGTTATTTTACTATATTATTTATTTATAGTAATTAAATTATAAATTATATTATAATATTATAATTTTTATTAAAATCTGAACTTTTATAATTTATACATATTTTATATTAATAATTTAAAATAAGTATAGATATTATAATAACTAATAAAACTATTTATTTATAAAATACTAAATATATATATTTATATATTAAAAATATTTTAATAAAGTTACTAAATAAAAATAGTTTTTATTTTATAGCTTATTATAAAAAAATAAATAAGATATTTTAATTTATTTATATAAAATAAGTTTAGAATTTAAAATTATATAAAAAAATATATATTATAATACTGCTAATATATATAATAAGTAAGTAAGATAAATAAATAAATATAATAAAAATTCTAATTTTTAAAATTTAAATCTTAATAAAATTATAATAATACTATTAATTAATTAAAACTAATTACTATATTTTTTCTTAAAAATCTTAATTATAATCTAATAGATTCTTATATTATGACCAGCTTTTTTATAAATTCTATAGTATCTTTCTCTTAATATTACTAATTTCTATTAATTATTACTTCTTAATAATTTAGCTACTATTTATATATTAATATTTCTCTAATTTATTTTATCTTTTTTTTATTTAAAGTTATCTTTTCTTTTTTATATAAATAGGTTCTTTTTATTTTATACTACTTACTAAGAGTCTTATTTATTTATTAAAAAATCTGAATTTTAAATTTTAATAATACTATCTAATATATTATTATTTTTATTTTCTTAATAAATAACTTAAGTATTTTAAGAATTAATATTAAAGAGCTATTTTAATATTTTTTGATTTAATTTTTAAGATATTTTAATTATAAATTAATTTTAAGTATTATTTTTAGAATTTTTAAAATCTAAGAGTTAAAGAGGCTAATTTCTTCTATAACTAGTATTAGAATTTATAGCTATATATAAAGCTTTAATATACTATTTTCTAAATTTAAAAAAATAAATCTAGCTTCTTAAAAATCCTTTTTAATATTACTTCTTATTATAGTAGTTTTATAAATAGTATAGAAAATTAAAAAGAATTTAATTTTTAAAATATAAATTATAGAATATCTAATAAATTACTTAATTACTTAATTATAAGCTATTTTAAATAGCTTAAAATATCTAATCTTAAAAGGCTAGAATAGATAAAATAAATAAAGTAATATATAAAATATAATAATATTAATCTTTTTATAATATCTTTTAAAATTAATAAAATAGTAACTTTTATATTTATTATATTTAATTTATTTAAGTTATTATTTATTAAATTATTAAATTATAATAAAATATAAAATATTTTTATAATTAATAAATATATTAACTTAATATTTACTATTTAAAGAATAATATTAAAATTTCTTAAATATATTAATAATTATAAGAAACCTTTAATTATAAATAGAGTAATTAAATTTAATACTATATATTTTATATAAGAAAAAAGTAATATAATATAATAAGTTATTATTATTTTATTATTTAATTTAAGCTTTTTATATAAAATTTAATAAGTTAATTTTAAATTTAAGTTTTATTTTAAGTTAAATATTACTAAAATAAATTTATTAAAAATCAGATTTTCTATAATATTAAATATTCTTTTTATAATAATATTTTATTAAAATTTTATTTTTTTAGTAAATAATATTAAAAGAATAATATAATTATATATTTCATACTCTACTTAAGCTAGCTAGCTATATAATTCCTCTTTTAAATTACCTAAACTAATCTATAATAAAGAGGAAAATCTAATAGTAAACTATTAAATAAAAACTCCCTACTACTTACTCCTAAAGAGGAAATAAATTAGGTTTAGTATATATATACTATAATATAAATTATAAGCAGTCTACTTTATAGAAAAAGCTAGTAATATATTTACTTATAAGAAATTCTCTTAGAGTATAGCTTATATAGTATTTTAGAATTTCTTTAATTTTAGAATAAGTTTAAGTTAGTTTTATTAATCTTTTTCTTTATCTTTCTAATTACTATTCTTCTTACTATTACTTAATAGGCTTAGTATACCTTCTCTTACTTTTGCTAATATAAGCTATTTTATTTAATTTATTAGTCTAAATACTACTAGAGGCAGATTTAAATCTAGCTCGGCCTAGAGTTATTTTAAAAACTAACTAAATCTCTTATAGACTAGGTAATTTAATATAGTAGTTAGTATATTTACTATATCCTGTAATAGATATACTATATATCTATATTACTTATTTAAAATATTAAATTATATAAGTTTCTTTAAATAGATATTTCTTATTTATTTCTACTTTTTTTATATTATATAGTATATATAAAACTATACTAGATATAGCCTATTATAATTATAATATACTATAGAAATTATACTTATAAAAGTAAAGTAAATTATATTTTTTATATAGTAGAATCTCCTATAATAGCTATATCTAGTATATTTCTAGTAGTATTATATAATATATTTAAAATAGTAGTATTTAAAATACTATTTAAATTATATATTCTTTA